CGTTCGTTGCAGTACAGAGCAAAGATCTGATGGAATGCAAGGCGTCGAGTAGAACAGACTCCCATTGTGCCGTTGGTAGGCCCCGTGATCTTAATGCTAGAGTGATGGCACGCCAAAGTGTTCCATTGAGGCGCTCGACCTGCCCATTGGCTTGAGGATTGTATGAGGTAGTACGACTGGTTGCTACGCCTTTCTCCAGAAGAAATGCCCGTAATTCGGTAGACATGAAAGCAGCGCCTCTGTCGGTATGTATGTAAGAAGGCATACCGAAAATCGAAAACAGTTGGCAAAGGCAATTCATTACCGTTTGAGACGACATGTCGGGGCAGGCGAATGCAAAGGGGAATCGAGAATATTCATCGATCAGCGTGAGCAGATAGTGATTGCGGCTAGCTGACGGTAGAGGTCCTTTAAAGTCGATGCTTAACCTTTCAAAAGGTTGGGTTGCTTTTATGAGTTTGAAATTAGAGGGATTGTAAAATTGAGGCTTTAACTCACAGCATGTCACGCATTTACTGGTTACATTGCGCACCTCGTCAAGGGAGAATGGAAGGTTTCTCGAGCGTACAAAATGCATCATTCGGACAACTCCAGGATGGCACATAGAGTCATGGAGAAATTTCAAGTCGCACACTGACTGCAAGGAACCGCAGAAACTACGGGAAAATGTATCAGCAGCTTGATTATCCCTTCCAGGACGATAAATGATGTCATATTGATAAGGGGATAGCTCAATTCTCCAACGCATTATTTTATCGTTCTTGATTTTGCCTTTATGAATCTTGTCAAACATGAATGCTACTGAACGTTGATCAGTGACAAGTTTGAAGTGATTTCCGAGAAGGTAATGCTTCCACTTACGAATTGCTTCAACCACGGCATAGGCTTCTTTCTCAACCGATGAATGATGTTTCTCACTTCGAGAGAGGCTTCGAGAAAAGAAGGCGACAGGTTTACCATTCTGGTTTAATGTAGCTGCAATTGAGACATCTGAAGCATCTGTTTCAACAACAAGGGGTGCTTTCGGATCAACTACCACAACGACTGCACGTTCTAAGTCGTCTTTCAGTTTGTCAAAAGCATTTCGAGTTTCGATATCAAGAGGGAAAATCCGATTATTTACCAATGGGTGGATTTTATCTGAGAAGCGAGGGATCCACTGTGAATAATAAGCAAATAATCCAACGGCCCGTTGTTGAGATTTGATATCTGTGGGTGGTTCTAGATCACGAAGAGGTTTTAGCCGATCGGGATCTGGTTTAATAACCCCCTTTGAAACTTCATAACCGAGTAATTGTATGCTTCTGCTTGAGATCACACTTTTGGAATCATTAAGGGTTATTCCATAATTGCGTGCTGCTACCATAAACTTGTTTAGATTTTTGTCGTGTTCCTCCTGAGTTTTGCCGCAGATAGTGACATTGTCAATGTAGGCAAACGTGCTTGTGAGTTGTTCTTTACTGATCAATTCATCGATAATGCGTTGAAAACAAGCTACGCCATTGGTAACACCAAAAGGAATTCGGCAAAATTGGTAAAGTTTCCCACAAGCCTCGAAAGCAGTATATGGTTTATCTTCGTTCCTTAGGGCAATTTGATGATAAGCATTCTTCAGATCAAGAGTGCTGAATATGTCATATTGTGCGATTTTTTCTATCATTTCGTCAATCCTAGGTAATGGGTAAGCATCCAGAAAAGTGAATCGATTGATTGTCTGACTATAATCAACTACCATCCTCTTTTTATGGCGTTCGTTTGACGTAACAAGAACTTGAGCTCGCCAAGGAGAATTAGAAGGTTCAATAACACCTTCTTGCAGTAACCGGTTGACTTCGGTGGAAATAAAACTTTCATCTTCACGAGAATAACGCCGGGATTTTATCGCGATCGGTTTACAGTCTTTTGAAAGATTTTCAAACAGAGTAGGCAGGTCGACGCGAACACAAGGTAGACCACAGAGAGAAAAAGGCGGCTTTGATCCCCCAAAAGGAATCTCAATGTGTTTGTGAAGTTTTAAAAAATCATGTCCAAGAAGGACGTCTGCACATAAATTATGAAGAATGGAAAATTTGAATAGATCATAAGTGTGGTTTTTATAGCAGATGGATAGAAACAATGTCCTTCAGTATGACTAGTAAGATTCGTACTCGCCATTGTGATTCTGTTTCGAGACTTATGGACTTTCCAGTTATACTTACGAACAACTGAGGAAGAGATGTAGCTCTCACTGCTTCCGGTATCCACTAGAGCTTGCATTGATTTCCCATTGACAGTAAGCTGCGTAACAGCATCAGTGAGACTTTGAGGTGCTGAAGCCACAACGAGAGATGAAATTATAGAGTTAACTGAAGATGGACCTTTTTTCGTAGATGGCGCAGACCTGCAAACCTTCTGAAAATGTCCTTGCTTGCCACAAGCTTTGCAAACTGCATCACGGGCGGGGCATTTGGAACGAGGATGTCTACGATTACCACAGAAAAAGCATTTGGATTCAACGGCAGCAATGGTTGTTTCATTGACGGAGGGTGTGGAATCTGATGAATGAGGTACATCATGTAAAGAAATGGACGCGCAAGGTGTAACAGGATTGTTGTATGACTGCGATTGTTGATGTGCCATCTCTAGAGCTCGTGCTTGATCGTATGCCGCTTGAAAAGTTAAAGTACGCTGTTCTAATAGCCTCTGGCGTATCATCGAAGACTGTATACCTGAGATGAATGAATCACGTAGAGATTCGTTACGATGTTCTTCGGCTGTAACTGCCCTGAATGAACAATCTGTAGTCAGCGACTTGAGTCGACGAACAAACTGATCCAGATTTTCGCCAGATTCTTGTTTACACGTTGCTAACAAGTGTCGAGCAAACACTTCGTTGCAAGGCTGCATGTAGAGACTCTTGAGAGTGTCGATAGCTTCTTCGTATGTTTTGCATTCAGAAATGCATTCGTATACAGAAGTAGAAATATGATTGAAGAGAATATGTAGTTTCGAAGGATTTTCGGATCCCATTGATTCAATGAAGTAGGAGAAAGTCGCAAACCAGTGATCCCACTTCTTGGCAGCTCCAACTGCGTTAGGTTCTACGTCGAACCGATCAGGTCGGAAAAATCGTTCCATGAATATTGTAAAATGAATAAATTGTTACGAAGGTGATTGAGTCTTAGAACGATGAGTGATGCTTGAATCTTGAAAAGACGAATGAACCAAGAATTTAGGCTTTATTCATTTTACAATGAAGCCGGAATGGCTTAAACATATAAAGGAAAAAAAGAGTGTTAATAGCGGTAGAGATATGAATATGACTAGATACGTATTATAAGAAAAGTTCGCAACAATGTAAGGCTAACATTGATTTCACTTCATGTAAGTTAGCAAGCGAAAATTAGTGGTAACACTTAGTGGTACAGCAGATTCAAGCCATAAGATTTTCTTGTTGAAACAACCTGTCAGCAGTGATTCAGTCAGTCATGTTTATATTTGAACAAACACGAGAGAGCCAAACAGGCTTTAGACCAGGAAGAGGGTATATTGATCATATCTTCACTCATCCTTCGACAGATTCTAGAACATAGGGATTCCTACCGGTGTCCAACAATCATTACATTTCTTGACCTAAAGGCGGAATTCGATACTGTCGACTGGGAGATTCTCTGGGGATGCTTGGCTGTAAAGGGAATTCCGAGAAAATACATTGCAATGATTAAGGCACTCACTCTACTTGAACTCATGCAGCCAGGTGAGGGCTTACGGCGAGCTGTCATCTGAAGTGGTGACGACTAGTGGTGTCCGTCAGCCACGGATGCCCATTATCCCCTTTTCTATTTAACTTCATCATAGATGTACTAATGGACTTAACCCTAAGTGACTTCAGCGACTCAGGGATTGACTTGCTACCAGGGAATAATCTCGTTGACTTGGAATATGCAGACGATATAGTCCTTCTAGGACGTTGACAAAATGCATTCGAGTGTTCTGAACATCTTGAGCTGCAGTCTACGAATGTTTGGCATGCGAGCGATTCGCTCCCGCCAAATGCAAGATAATGTTACAGGACTGGACCAGACTACACTGACTCCTCGTTTAGAAATGGGAAGTGAAGGGTAAAGCACGTTGACCGCTTCACTTATTTGGGAAGTACTATCAGCCAACGCCAACGGGTTGATCTCTGATGAAATCTCAGCACGGATACAGAGGGCTAGTTTCGCATACGCCCGCCAGTTTACGCCGTCTCTGGCGTATACGTGATATCCGACTGGCTATCGACCAAAAGGCGTGTGTACTGCTCGGGAGTCCTCTCCGTCCTCCTTTATGGCTGTGAGTGAGATATGGCCATTGAGAGTGGAAGACATGAAAAGACTAGCTAGCTGCCATCTACAACAGTTAGTCCAAGCCACTTAAGAAGGTGTAGACTTCCTGACTGGTTAGGGTCCTCGGGATGGTAAAAACCAATGGCTGGAAACAATTGGTGATATGGCTCAGAATCGTTCTCAATGGTTGGCGCAGATGCATCCACTCCTTGTGACTTATGACCCTCGAATGAAACTATATTTTTCTTCGTTATTACTATTCCTTTGTCTCACACCTCTGTTTACTATCTCTATCATGAGTTTCTTCTACTTTCTTGTCATGCTTTGTATGGTACATGGAGGGAGTGTGGCGACTTGAACTGACGCACATTTGTGCAAAGCTCTATGTCGAAAATAGACAGACAGACAGACAGATATATTTGAAAGTAGGTGGGTAATTTGAGCTGATTCGAGTGAAGAGTTTCATAATTCTACATCGTCATTATCTTAGCGTATTCATAGGCGGCTGGTTATATTGAAGCACAATACATCTAACTTTAGAGCTAGTACTATCTCTCACTGTGATTAGGTGCTGAATATTCTCATATCAATGAGCTTAAATATATTCAACTCATTATCTGTATAGGTATTATTCATTAGTAATATATCTAACATTTTTCGTAATTTTTTCTCTGCCTTTTTTTAAAAATCTAGTCAACTGATTATACTGGTCGTTATAGTCTATTGGATACATTGAATAATAATCGCCTATTGTATATTATATTAGGCGGTATAGCTGGTCTAATGTTTCTTGTCATGTTTATACTTATTCTGCTGTGTTTATGTCGTCAACATCAAGACCGTCGGATACATGGTCAACGTAAAAAACAAAGTAGGTTTGAATTATGATTTATGTTATTGTTTTTTATTTCAATTAATTATTTATCTTCAAGAGTATTGGTTTTTGAGGGGAGATTTTATTTGAGTGGTTGGAGGATTTCATCATCATGAGCTGACATCGGTTAGAGAGAACCATTGGAAAACTAATTGGGGAGTACTTGACAGTCAGGTGTTTTGTCAGCCCAGTTTGGGACTCTTCATCAGTACGCACCCACATTTAACTTGTTGGTCGCTTCATGGTCACTCTTACATGTGTGTTTCACGGTTTCTATTTTTTTTTTATTTCTCTCACATGGACAAATAATCAGGATCAAGTCTATGTGTGATATCCCAGTTTGAGAATCTTTGGCAGTACGCACCCAGTGGTGTTCAAACCCAAGACCTACCGGTTGACTGACTGACTGTTTTCAACACAGAATTTCGCAAAAAGAATAGTTATACGGAAGAACAACATAGTTTTATTCGTTATTATAAGTCACAAGGAGTGGATGCATCTGCACCAGCCATTGAGAACGAACGACGTTCCGGTTACAAGACAAGCTCGTATACCATTCAGCCATTGGGACCCGATTTCTATGGTCAATCCATGAATTCCACCTTTTACTAATTCATGAGCCATTGATGAGTAGGGTCCCAGTGGTGAATGGTTTACGAGCTCGCCTTTTGACCAGAAGTTCCTGAGTGCGTACTGTTAAGGAGTCCGCAAGCTAGGATGAAGCAGCTGTCCAGTACTCCAGTGCTGGTTTGCCAATGGTTCTGTAACTGATGTCATTTCATGATGAAATCCTCCAACTAGTTATTTATCTATTTATATTCTACTGGGAAATTTCAAAATCTGTTGACGGAGAATTTCTGTTTCAGGCATCGCTTTTAAATCCTAGTTTTCAGCATCAGTGGTAGTGTCTTTTTCGGGGAACTTTCTGAACCTGTTCAGACGATGGTTACTTTGGGTTTAGATTCTAGGCCGTCAATCTTATGATGATTCTTTGGAGATTTTGTAGTGTTCTTGAAAACTGATCAATACTGTTTATTCCATGTTGACTTTTCGTATATAGGGAGTCTTCTCAGCGAGTTAATTAATCAGGACATCTTTGTAGTTGAACATCGAATGTGTAGAATTTAAAGGTGTGTGATGATACTAAAGCACAAATTCACCGATGATAGTTTTCGAAATGTCCCAGTATAAAATATATTTCGCTGTGAGCCTATGACTAGTGACATTTTCAAGTATTGGTTTTCTAAGGATTTTGTTTGATTGGTTGAAGGATTGCATCATGAGCTGACTGACAGCAGTTAGAGGACCATTGGAAAACTAGTACTGGAAAGCCAACTGTTTCGTCAGCCTAGTTTAGGACTCTTCATCAGTACGCTCCTACCACAGGGGTTGGAATCCAGGACCTTCTGGTTACAAGGCTAGCAAGCCCGTAGACCATTAATTCAACCACTGCTACTCTGCCAATTCATGACATAGCGTGACCACTTCTCAGTGTCTTCTTCGATGACCTACTGCCCTCACCTTCGACCTGCTGCACACTACTAGTCACAACTGCCCACTAGAACCCCAGGTTAACTGCCTGAATGGGGATAGTCTCTGGTGAGCATCAGATTAATTTTCAAGTATCAGTTTTTGTAAATTCAATAAATCTATGTTAAGTTGGAATTTGCTACTCAGGCGAACTAAAGTGTACTTGCACTTCCATGTATTTTTGGCAATGAACCAAAATGATTATGCGAAGGCTACAATGGTACACTACATAGTGACTGCTTAAACGTTGGTATGTGGAGAGACATTCAAATTCTTTGTAACTCATTTACGGTGGATGACCACCCACAGGTCTACTATAACCTATATATATATATATATATATATATATATATATAATAGGGTGATTTTTACAATTCGACCAGATTTCATGGGTCATTGTGTGACAACAGAAGGCATGACACGGAAGCCAACGTATATTTTCTCTAAACAATCATTGAGAGTGTAATTTTGGTGTACATTAAGCAACATGAAATATAATGTTCAAATATATATATCGTATTCTGTTGCTAACGCAGTATTGAACTCTGGGAATATGTGAGAATAATATTCTGTTGGAACACACTGTCCTGTATCACAACACTACACTTGAATCCGGTCGCAATAGCTAAATGGTCTACAAGTTCTCCGTGTAGTAACTGGAAAGTCCTGGGTTCAAAGCCTGAAAATGAGTGCATACTGCTGAAGAGTCCTAAACTAGGACGAAGAAGTTTTTCCCTTCTCATTCCTAGTGGAACAGTGAGCTTCAAGCTAGTGGCTCGAAGTTTCTGTAGCAGTGTTTATTTTTACAGGATAAGGGTTACTAGCCAGCCTCATGCCCAACCTTTCCTCTTTACCAGCATTATTTCTGGCTTAGCGAGGTAAAAGAGTGTCTCGTTGGCCAGGGACCGAACCCCAGACCATATGCTTGGTCGGTGAGCGTCCTAACTGTTGTGCCACCGACGCACCTCCCGGCTGAGGACGAAGAAGTTGGCTGTCCAATAATCCCTGTCTGGTTTTCCAATGGTTCTCTACCTGATGTCAACTTGCGATCAAACTTCTTGTAACCACCAATCAAATCTCTTCAATCCAAAACCCAATAATTTATCTGATGTTCCAATAAGAAATCGTAATCAGTAGATTTCACCAAGTCAGGTAAGAGATGACGATCAATTACTCGCGCCTTTAACATTTGGCTGGTGGCTGCTCACGAATTGGAAAAAGTTGAAATTCTCATGGACTGGTCATTGGATCAGGTATCAGTGGCTGGTGATTAGTCTACGAGCTCACTACTGGCCTTATAACTGAAAGATCCTGGGTTCGAACCCTAGTAGGACGAAACAGCTGTCCATTACTCCCCAGTGGTTTTCTAATGGCTGGCTAAATAATGTCAACTCAGGATCAACACATGCAATCTTCGCTTAATTTTCGTCTTCCCCTTTTACTCCTATGTTTTTCCTTTTTTTTGGGTATTGTTGCTGTTGTTGTCGTCCTTGTTTCGAAGTGTGACAAATTGAAATGATCTTATACCTTGAAAAGCAATCTTCGTATGTTTGGCATGCGATTCGCCCCTGCAAAATGTAACATGCTGCTACAGGACTGGACTACGTCAACTCCTAGCTTAGTGATAGGCAGTGAAGTGATAGAACATGTTGACCACTTCACCTATTTGAGAAGTTGTATTAGCACCAACGGACTGATTGGCGACGAAATCTCAGAACGGATCCAAAAAGCTCGAGCTGCTTTCGCTGACTTACACCACCTCTGGCATAGGCGTCACATTCGGCTATCAATCAAGCTAAATGTGTACTGCTCAGCTGCAGTTCGATCCGTCCTTCTCTATGGCTCTGAAACATGGCCAATACGAGTTGTTGAAGACATGAAAAGGTTGACTGCTTTCGATCATAGATGTCTGCGATCTCTGTCTCACGTTAGGTGGTTTAACAAGGTAAGTAATGTTGACGTTAGGCGTAGAGTGTTGGGCGAAGGGGGAAAATCAATCGACGAGGTTATAAAGTTACATAGATTGAGATGGCTAGGTCAGGTGGTGCACAGGCCTAACCATCGCCTCCCCCTCCCTGACGGGCGGGCATTACTAGCTGATATAGGTGGTTCAGGTTGGAAAAGAGTAAGTGGCGGGTGGCCAAACAAAAACATGGCCTCATCAATCCATGAAATCCTTGATAGTTAAACTGAGTCAGGTAGGGAGGGAGATGCAGACTTCCGGGTTGGGGCCCTCGGGACTGACTCTAGGAATCAATCAATGGATGGAGACAATAGGTGAAATGGCTCAAAATCGTTGTCAATGGCCAGCGCAGATGTATTCAGTCTCTGTAATCTTTCATATTCCTTTCTACCATTACCCATTCTGTTTCACTCCTATTCTTGTCAGACTGTATTGATTCTCTTCACTCATCTTCTTGTCTACCTTTGTGTGCTATTTGGAAGGTGGCAACTCGAACTATTGCGTTTCGGTGCCAAGTTCTATGTTGAATCCAGATAGACAGACTTTAATGCATTTATTCTAGGTTGATTAATCTGTGTGCGTTTATCTATCTATCTATCTAATTTACAATCTCAGTATTATGTACTCGTCGCCAAATTATTGTTATGTACTGGTCGAGAATTTAATAGTCCTGACGCAAAAAAGACGGAAATCAGAAGACCACTAGGTTTGCGATGATACTTCTATTTTCCAAACACAAGGAGAATCAAAGTCACACAAGATTGTGAGAGCGAAAATATATATGAATGTCCGAACAAGGGTGTGAACAATCAATAGACAGTCTTAACATGATTGGCTAATTATAATGGAGTATCGACCCATATATACATAGCAAAATATAGCAGACATGTCAACAAACACACATATTATATATACTGTAAGGGGAACATACATTGTTAAAGGAGACAGGTTCATCAAAGTGAAATGGTCACAGACTAAGAGAGCAATAGAAAGAGAGACCACCATACACATATATATATATATATCACTCAGCACAAAAGAATTCTAGGGAATAAAAAGACAGTTGCAGCGAAGATAATTTTCTTTTCGACGAATTCATCGTCATTCATGTGTATTTATAATAAGTGGGTGGGAAAGTTCCAGAATAATTTCTGGTCAAGGGTCAGAATAATAGGATTGCAAGGCGGAATTAAAAATCCCATAATAAACAAGCAGTGGGGAGGACGGATAAAACTCAAACAAAGCAGCATCATAAAAATTACTGAGAAGATTAATACTGTCTGTGCAATTAGGGGTTAGAAATGTAGAAATAACAACAATAGATAGACAGGATGTTTGGATAAAAACAAAATCTAGTGGGATCATAACTAATGTGGTGAATAATTGTTTGTGCAATCAGGGATTGTTTATGTAGGAATAACAAAATGACAAAACAGAGAGGAAGTTCGGATAAGAAAGTCAATGAGATGATAGTGACTATTAGAAGAGTTACCCTGTTTATGATGGTCATGGCAGAACAAGGCTTTGAACGTATTTCTTTTGGATACATAACGTGGGTTTGAGCTTTTGGATAGCTAATGTCTCGGCTCTACTCAGACATCTTAATTTTACTCTCTTTAATTCTTCAAGTCAATAGTAGTACAGTCTTAATAGGAAAGATTATTTGGATAAGATGCATATTAGAATGAATAGTTTTCAACCAGGAGAAAAAAAATTCAAGTTGGAGAGGAAAGTACATTAATTCTTATAGCAGGATATATATATATATATATATATAATGGTGTATAGTTGTCTAGTGAAACATATGTTCACCAGATGTGTAGGAGAGAAATAACACCTAAAATAAATATACATAAAGAAATCATCTGCCTTTTTATTTATACAACTAATTTTTACACCTATTACCTTAAATTTTTAGAGTGAAAAATATGACTCCAGCAACCAGCATCGCCTGTACTTTGTTTTACATTCTCTGCTGTCCTCTTTAGTTAGCTAGCTAGATAGCTCCACAATTGCCCATAGGCTATCTCGTCTCTTCCTCAGTTACTACAGACTTGCATCTGTCTACAAATGCCCTCACTTCGCTAGACTCCATACTCTGAATATTTAGCAACAAGAAACTCTGGGGACGAATCAATCAATGCATTGGACACACTCTGAGGAGACTATCGAATGATATCTCACGTGAAGTCATTACTTGAGTGAGTGGAATGTCACTTCGAGAGTGATATGGAGAGGAGATCGCATGAGTTGGAAGGGATGAGAGACTGTGTCACTTAAAGAGGCCTGCAGAGGACAGGAAAAATTGAAATTTGTTCTTGGAGCCCTATGTTCCACTAGGAACCCAAGAAAGTGGCGACGGTTGTGTTGTGAAGAACACTCACCAAATCACCATAGTGGTTCGGTTTCGATTCCTGATTGACAAACCATTCCCCTAAACTTGTTCGAGACGGCAGTAAGTCTGGTAAAAATAAAGAAGAGGGTAGACGTGAGGTTTCGCAATGCGCCAACTCATAAAAACACTTCAACACCACTGTTAGTGAGACTCCAAATTGTTCCACTCTGATGAACGTAAAGGAATAAAAGATGAAAGAAGACTAACCGGATAGCACTGGTGCTTATGTTAAAGAAGGGGTGGTGGTTACTAACCTCACCTGTCCGAACTTTCACTCTCTTTAACTCGGACTTATTACTACCGACTAAGAGGAGCACGAGGTTAAGGATTGCATTGATCTGGGATCGACCCCTGGACTATATGCATTGAACCACTGATGCACTATCATTCTTTGAACAAAGACTTATGGGCACAAAGCAGAGTGAATAACTTCTAAGGTTTTTACTTTATCAAAAGCTTGTGCTTTCCGAAGTAAAGAAGAGGAAGTCTAACAAAAAAAAATGAAATTCTATCCACCTGAGATGAAATCATTTCAAACCTTCATACACTCAACCATGTCTCAGGTGGTCTGGGTTCGATTCCCAACCACTGACGTGAATTCCTTAACCCCCCTCCCCCGCAGTCGGTCGTAGTAGCAGTAGTGGGTAGGCTGGGAACAGAGAGAAGGTTGGTCGTGTATGGCTTACAACTTCACCTCGTAAACACAAAAAAATAACAACGCTGTCACTGCTATACTGAGACTTCAAAGCTTGCGAAGCTGTATGCTCCACACTTGGAGCGCAAAAGAATGTCGTGGTGGTGGTACTTAAAAACGCATCGTTATAGTTAAACATCATTCTTTTGGGTTATCTTTATTATTATTCAAGTGGGTTGATTTGCAGGGATTCGATTAGTGGTGGCTACAGGTCACGAGTATACCTCCGTTGGAAGAGAGTACCATTGGGACTCTTCATCAGGACGTCTGTCTGCATGTCTGTTTTCGACATAGTACTTTGCACCGATGTGCGGCACTTCCAGTAGCCACACTCCATGTAGCACACAAAGCAAGAGAAGAAATGTATAATAGAGACAGTAAATAGAGATGTGAGACAAAGGAATAGTAACAAGGAAGAACGATTTAGTTTCATTTAACGATCATAAGTCACAAAGAGTGGATGCATCTGTGCTAGCCACTGAGAACGATTTCGAGCCATATCATCACTGATTGTCTCCAGGTATTGGTTTTTACCGTCCCCGGGGACCCAATCAGGAAGTCTCAGCCTTCGTACGTGGCTTAAACAAAGTGTTATTGATTTCATTGACCGATGAAGCCATATTTTGGTTTGACCACCGATGGCTCTTTTTCAACCTGACCCTATGTCAGCTAACACTGCCCGTCGAAGAAGGCGATGACTAGGCATACGTAACACATGTCCTAACCATCTCAGTCGATGTAGCTTCACAGTCTCGTCGATTGATTTCCCTTCCCACCTACTTACCGCTCGACGCCTAACTTCAATATTGCTCACCTTAATATACCACATCACACGGGAGATAGGACGCATCAGGAGTTTGAACCTAAAACCTTGTAGTTACAAGGTGAGCTACTGATAAAGCATTCAGCCAATGACCTATGAATCTTAACTTTTGGCAGTATGCGACAATGTTAGCTGACATAGGTTCAGGCTGGAAAAGAGCTCTTGGTGGTCAAACCAAAACATAGCCTCCCCAGTCAATGAAATCCACAACAGTTAGTTTAAGCCAGTCACATGGAAGGTGTAAACTTCCTGGTTGGAATCAATGGTTGGAAACAATTGATGATATAGATCAAAGTGATCGTTTTCAATGGCTAGCGTAAATGCATCCACTCCTTGTGACTTATAATTTCCAATGCAACTATATTGTTCTTCGTTATTACTATTCCTTTGTCTCATACCACCTCTGTTTACTGACTCTATTATGCATTTCTTTCTACTTTCTTCTCTTGCTTTGGTGGTACACATGGGGAGTGTGGCGACTTGAACTGACGCACATGTGTGCAAAGTTCTATGTCGAAAGTAGACAGACAGACATGCAGATAATGTGTGACATATAAACAGCGCAACTGCCAGTCAGTGTAACTGGTCTCTTAGCCAACTCGATTTTCCAAAGGTTCTCTAACCGGTGTCAACTTTTGATCACACCTTTATTTTAATCTCATTGTTAAATATTTTGTTTACACACACATATATGTATGAAAGTATGTTTTCACTTATTTATCTCTCTATCTATTTATCTGTCTTTCCTTAGATGGTTATGTCCATGGTTATAAAGATTCACCAGATTTTCGTACCACCACGACAGATGGCATGAATAACCCTCAGTTAACAACACATAATCATAATATGAATACAAATACTACTCCAGGTAATATGACTATCAGTAATAACACTAATAATGCTAATAATCAAAATGCAACAACAAATCCAGCAATTCCAATGAATGAACAAGGCGTTAACCCCGCGAATATGATGATGACACCGACAATGATGATGATGATGGGTGGCACCGGTAATCTCCAATGTAGTGGTATGTCTGAACATTCAACATCGAATAATACTAATCCTAACAATGATTTACAACGTCATCAAATGTATATGCAACAACAACACCACCAACATCAACAACAACAATCAGATCCATATGCTACCGCATTAGGCGGCGGCGTCGCCAGCGGTGGCGGTATAACCAAAGAATTACTTCAGCAACAACGTCAGCTTATGCTTGGCTCTCAATTACACTTACAACAACAACAAGGCGGCGGTGGTCAATCCTATATGACTAATCATTCTCTTCACCACCACCATCCCCCGCATCATCAATCACATCACTCCTTGTTATTACCATCTGTTGGGGCGAGTACAAATCATATGTTCTCTGGACATAATAATAATAGTAATAATATGGTACCGCCGACAATGTTTCATAGTGGTACTCTACCTAGTGGACCACGTTATTTACGTCAACAATCGTGTGGTTCACATTATTTTGGGGGAGGTGGCAATGGCGGTGGGAGTCAACAACCACTAGATAGAAATATGATGATAAGTCCAACAAATGCTATGGAAATGACTGAATTGTATCATCACCATCAACAGCAACAGCAACAACAGAATGGTTACGCTTATCAACAACCACAACTTCCACCGATTCCAGTAAGTTTCTTCTCCTGAAACACTTGTCTGTGTGATTGTTGTCTCACTAGTGTGGTGTTGTTGTTCTTTGTGTGAATGAAATTACTGAAGAAATAACTTTTAAGTATTGGTTTTGTAGGCGTTTTAATTTGATTGGATGGAGGATTTCATCATGAGGTGGTGACATCAGTTAGAGAACCCCTGTCCGACAACTTCTACCTTACCGTGGTGGTCGGGCTTGAATACCGCAGTGACCCAACAAGCTAAACTGGCTGAGACTCATGTCCCTGCAGATCCTACTATGTCAGAAAGGTTGTTTGGCTAGCGGTAAGACTAAAAGCAGTTACATGGACTCCAGAATCCAATGGGATCAAATGGCGTATGAACCCGTAGGGGTCACCGTCAACCATGGGAATGCAGCTGCTGACACTGCTCCGCTGCCTCGCGGATTAGACTGAAAGTCAAAGACTAGCGGGGTGGTCCCTTAAGAAAACTACCTACTTCGGTCTGGGCGCCCGGGCAGTATCTCAGCCCTCACACAACATTGTGTGGCGCATCTTAATTGGTGCCATATTGTAGCAAGTTTTTTCTGCGTTTAAATAAATAAATAAAATGAATATAAGTTAGAGAACCACTGGATAACCTGGGATTACTGAATAGCTGTTTCATCCTAGTTTGGGACTCTTCAGCAGTATGCGCCCACCGCCAGGGTTTGAACACAGGATCTTCTGGTTACAAGGTGAGCTAGCTCATAGACCATTGAGCCTTTGGGACCAATTGATCTAATGGCCCGTGAATTCCAACTTCTGTCAATTCACGACATAGTGCGACCACTTTGCAATGTCTTCTTCTTCGATTAGTTACTACTGCCTCATCTTCAACTTGCTGTAACCTACCTAACTTTTTGAACCCTTCTTGAAAAGTTTTAATGACGCTAAAGGCTTGAAGTTCGGTCGCAGTGGTGTTTATTTTTACAGGATGAGGTTGCTAGCCAACCTCATGCCAAACCTTCCCTCTTTACCAGTCGTCTTATTACTGGGCTTAGTGAGGTAAAGGAGTGCCTCGTCGGTGGTGGTCGAAGATGACTTGGCTTTTCATATCTCCTATTTCCAGTGACCATATCTCATAGTCATAAAGGATGGCGAGATTGAACTGTTATGCAGTGTAGACGTTTTGGAAACCAGCACTTGAAAGCTGATGTACTGCTTATGATGTTCTTGGAGTTATAATGATGAAAATTCGTTACAAGTGTTGTGGGCTAGTGGCTAGTGAGACTCTCCTGTTACGTTGATTGGCTGGGAGCACTGTATAATTGTATATTGTAAGAAGTTAGGATTCATGAACTATTGGTTTAATGGTAATGTGTTTGCCTCATACTCTAGGCCCATGTGTATGCTTCCGAAGAGTCTGAAATCAGGACGAAACATCTGCGAAGTACTTCATAGTGTTCAATGGCTCTGTAATTAATGTCAGTTTATGATTTAACTTTAACCTCACTACTTGTCGCAGTATTCAAACAGAAGATGTACCTCGAAAGTTTTAGACCAATGAAAACACAAGCTAGTTATTTCTGGTCTACTTATAAACACTGCGAATATTCAGCCTACTAGTCCCGATGGAAAGAAACCCGGTTTTCTGGGTTCCACTGCTTGCCACCACCAATCAAATGTTTATAACGAATGTTAAATTTAAATACCCCTGAAGAGTCTCAAACTAGGACGAAAGAGTTGCCAAGTACTTCTAGATTTATCACTAGCTTTGGTTTAATTTGAAGTTAACATTTATGTTTAGTATTAGATAATATTGTGTATATGATGATACTTCTTCTTGAGCACCGGGTTTCGAACCCTTAACCTTCCGATTCTAGGTAGTTTCTTGGATTCGAACCCCTGTGGGTGTATGTTTATGTACTCCTGAAGATTTCTAAACTAAGGGAGAAGATGATGCCTCAAACAATCACTAGATTATCCAAAAAATCGAGTAGTTTCAAGACAAATATACTGCCAACAATATATAAATCGATTGTATGTCGTTCCGGCGGATAATCTACAACAGGCAAATTATTACACAAGTTTGGAGCACCTTACAACAAATATGCATAGTGGTAGTATTTTCTATAGTTTGGTTTGTAAGGGTTAGTTATGTTTTCATGAGTTGATCACGAATTGATATCAGTTAGAGAACCATTGAAAACCAGCACAGGAAGTACTGAACAGCTGTTTCATCAGCCTAGTTTGGGAATCATCGTCAGTACGCACCCACCACACTACATGGGTTCAAACCCAGGACCTTCCGGTTACAAGGCAAGCTCGTATACCATTCAGCCACTGGGACCCGATTCAATGGCTCATGAATTCTAACTTCTACCAATTCGTGATTTAGCGCGACTCCAACCATTGTCGTTGGTGGGACATCCATCCACACACGTGACATCTAATTGGACCTCACTGGTCACGACTTCTCACTAGAACTCCAGGAAACCTATGCTCTCTAGTGACTTGCTACAGGATGGAGTTTCCTGGGTTAGTTCTACTGAGAAGTCGTGACCAGTGAGGTCCAATTAGATGTCACGTGTGTGGATGGATGTCCCATCAACGACAATGGTTGGGGTCGCGCTAAATCACGAATTGCTAGAAGTTTGAATTCTGCACTGGCCATTGAATCGGGTTGGGTCCAAGGGGCTCAATGGTAAACGAGTTCGCTGGCCTTGTAACCGGGAAGGTCCTGGGTTAGAAACCCAGTGGTGGGTGCGTACTGACGATGATTCCCAAAACTAGGCTGATGAAACAGCTGTTCAGTACTTCCTGTGGCTGGTTTTCAATGGTTCTCTAACTGATATCAATCCGTGATCAACTCGTAAAATGGTAGTAGTAGTAGTAGTTATTCTTTGTTGTGTGTATTTATTGGATGCATTTTAAGACAAGTCTTAATTGTGGAGTGGAGTGGGGTGAGGCAAGGCAAGTCATGGCGGGGAATTTATTTAAGATTCTACATGGAGATAGATGATTCAACATTTTACTTGTCACTGAAACGCTTTAACATCATTTATTTTATATTTTCTTCCTCTCTTGTCTAATAGTAATAAGAAGAATCAGCGTGTGTAGCTGTCTAGATTTCTGTTATCCTGCTTGCTTATCCCCTAGAGAAATTGAAAAATCTAGTTAATTTTTACTAATACTACTACTAACTAGTACTGTATATGTGTGTATTCATTAATGACAGTATTATGTCTTTGTGTGTGTGTGTGTGTGATGAATGATTCGACAATGAATATAAAAGTTACTTCTCCTAAAATTCGTCTAATATTGCTGCTGTTTGATGAAATGTTAGTAACCTTTTTAAGTAAATGTCAAACACCTGTGTAATACATTTCCATCATATATTATTAGTATTAGTAGGTAGATAGATAGATAGGTAGGTAGGCAGGTGGTCTGTGGGATAGAAAGCAGTCATTGTGAAACTGTAATCATATCCATTTATAATTATGACCATTCACTCTCATTGTCTTTTATACGGCAAATTAATTCTCCGATGATATATGTCTGATTTCACACAAACTGGAAGATATGCAAGTGATAAGCAACAAGTTGGCACTAGAAGCATCCAGAGAAGATAGGCCTTCAGGTGAACATAGAGAAAACAGATGTGGTGATGAATATTCCTGGGCAACACCAACAGAAGCAACCACAACAACAACAGACAACAATCAGCCAGTATAAATGGGAGAAACCTGAAAGAAACAACCTCCTTTACTTACCGACCTGGGAAGCATCGTCTCAGCTACATCGACGCCTAGTTTAAAAATAGGAAGTGAAGTGGTAGAGCACGTTGACCGCTTCACTTATTTGGGAAGTACCATCAGCCAGTGCCAACGGGTTGATCTCTGACGAAATCTCAGCACGAATACAGGGGGCTCGTTTCGCATTTGCCAGTTTACGCCGACTCTGGCTTAGACGAGATGTTCGACTATCGACCAAAGGGCGGGTGTACTGCTCATCAGTCCGCTCCGTCCCCCTTTATGGCTGTGAGTGAGATATGGCCACTGAGAGTGGAAGACATGAAAAGACTAGCTGTCTTTGATCATAGGTGGCTGCGTTCTATTTCCCGAGTATGTTGAGTGGCATAATAAGGTGAGCAACATTGAGGTTAGGCGTAGAGTTCTAGGTAAACAGGGGAAATCAATCGACGAAGTCGTGAAGCTACAAAGACTGAGATGGTTAGGACATGTGTTACGTATGCCAAGTCATCGCCCCCCTCGACGAGCAATGTTAGCGGATATAGGGTCAGGCTGGAAAAAGCTAGCGGCGGTCAAACAAAAACTTGGCTTCACCAGTCAATGAAATCCACAACAGTTGGTCTAAGCCACGTAGGAAGGTGTAGACTTTCCTGACTGGAGGGGGTCCTCGGGACGGTAAAAATCTATGGTTGGAAACAATTGGTGACATGGCTCAAAATCGTTCTCAGTGATAGCGCAGATGCATCCACTCCTTGTGACTTATGATCTCCAATGAAACTGTTTTGTTCTTCGTTATTACTCTTCCTTTGTCTCACACCTCTGCTCACTGTCTCTATTATGCTTTTCTTGTACTTTCTTCTCTTGCTTCGCGTGCTACACGGAGTGTGGCGACTTGGACTTCCGCATATTTGTGCAAAGTTCTATGTCGAAAACAGACAGACAGACAGCCAATGAGAGTAAAATGTTATACTCCTCTTGGTGTGGGGATTTGGTCTTCATTACGAGTTAAAGAACAAACAAACAGCTGAAGAACCATCTGTTTTTCATCCTATTTTTGTGGGATTCTTTAGAAGTGAGTAGTACTCAAACTGTCATGAAGAGTCCTACCTAAACTAGGGTGACGAAACAGACGGCCGCTCATCATTCCCTGCTCTGGTTTTCCAATGATTCTGCAATTGATGTCAACTACCTGTGATCTAATCTGTAACCCCACCCCGACTAATCGAATCTTGCCTATAAACCACCACTTGACAGAGTTCTTTGCTGATTATTCAATTCAGTTCAA